GGGTGCAAACGGCTCATTTTCCATGCCAGGGAGCCTAATGCCTGGGGGAGGTTTGGGAATTTCAGAAGCAGTAGGATGGGGCACGTAGGTAAAAAAAAAAAAGGAAAAATATTCATTCTAATTGTGGAGCAAGAGGAGGTATTTCCTGGGAATGGTGACGTTTGTCCAGGGTTGACTCCTGAGCGAGGCTGGCTAACATGGGACACACAGGACCCTCAAAGCCAGCCTTGGCCCTGCACGTGGCCTCGGCAGCAGTGGCATGGGTTGGTGTGGCCTCCGGCACGGTGGGACCGGGATCAGAGCGGGCGGCAGGCTCTGAAGCGCAGGCAGGGAGTTACTGCCAGCTCATCTCTGCTTTAAAACAGTGCTGGGGCTGGGCAGGGGGCTGTCGGATGCACGTCCGGTCCCATGCTTGGGTGCCTCCTGAGCTCACGGGACGGGCTCGCTCTGCGTTCCCAGGCATTTACCTCCCGCTTTTCCTCTCCCCATGTGCTCAGCCAGGAGCCTGGGTCCAGCTTGTGAGGCTCTTTCTGATCCCAATCTCACAGGCTGGGCTCTGGAGCACTGCCGTGTCTCGCCCAAGCAGCCCCATGTGCATGAAGTCATGTGAATCAGCTGCAGGAGCAGACAAGGCCAAGGGCTTTTTTGGCTTTCTCCTTCCCCCCCTCCCCAGCACTGCACCCAGATTGTTTTTCAGCTGTGGTTTTGATAACATGTTTATATAAACATCTCAGCTGGAATCTGCCTCCATCCCTGGAGATGCTGCCTGGCTCCAACCTGGGGCAGGTGATGCCCCCGCGGGTGCTCTCCCCATCCTCAGCCTCTTTCAGCCCCCGCTCCGTAAGGGATGGCAGCAGAGATGGCACCTCGGGCGCTGGGACAGAAAGGACCTTATGGTGACAGGGGATATCCAACTATTTCGACTTCCCTTAAATACCAGCTTTGGGGTTTGGCTTGGTTCTGCTGCGGCGATGCTTCAGGTTCGTCCTTGTGCCCTGCCTGCGCAGGGCTCGCCTCGCCACCCTTAATGGGCTCCTAACGTTTGGTGGCAGGAGCAAGGCAGATAATTGTTTTCCTTTTCTTATTAATAGATATAAAATGTCTGCCCAGGGGGCTCACTTTCAGCTCATTTACTGTGCGTCTGATGCCAGATGTTGGCTATTTACAATACCAAGGTGATCTCTGATGCTAAAATTGTCGCAGGCAGACGAGACTTGCTCTCTGGGTTTGCACTTTAAGGAAGTTTTGGATGTTAATAGAGCTTTTTGTGATCGGATGGTTTTGCAGTGGAAATCTGAATGATTGCTTCCCTCAACAGCCAGGTCAAAGGGGAAATTCTGGATCTTTTTTCAGAAAAATGTGAAAGGAGCAATGGGCAAGAGCTAATCCTTCCTTTGCTCTTTTAAATCCAGTGCTACCTGGCTTTTAAATCCAATGCTGCCTGTGTTTTAAATGCAATGCCATGTGGATCTAGGGGAAGGGCATGATGAGAAAATGCTTAAAATTAAAATTTCTTGCTCCTTGCATCTCACGTCCCGGTCAGACGGCATTCTGCCATCTCTGCTGTGCCTCTGGCAGCCCCCGGGTTCTCCAGAGAGCAGCGTTGTGCGAGTGCAGGCTGGTAAATCAGCAGCACGCTCCCTTCCGCGCTCTCTCCCAGGGCCATATTTCCTCCAGCCTTCAGTCGTGTTGGCCTGGAGGATTCGCCCGTCGCTGTGTTAGGGACAGGGGAAGGGCAGGCCGAAGGTGACAATGCCAGTTTGCGGGTGACTGGGGCTGCGCTGGTGGGGGTGTGAGGCTTAGGGGCTTCTGATGCTAGGGTTTGGGTTGCCAGCAAGCACTTGCAGCTGGGCCCACCAGGGATGCCTATGAGAACGTTCACCCCTTAGCGGCGTAACCCAGCTGAGGAGGGAGGATTTGATTTGCACTGAGCTGAAACAGCGGAGGGGAAAAAAGCAAGCGAGCCAAGTCCAAGCGGGTATGTAGGTCAAGGAATTGCAAGGGAATAGGGCTCGGGCCGGGGCTGCTGAGCGACGGCAGCGTCTGTATCTGTCTCTGAAGGATGGGCCGTTGGCAGCCCCGTCGGCAGCAGTGCTGCCTGCTGATTCACTCTGGCAGTGCCTGGCCGCCGGCAGCCGCAGCAGCAGCAGGAGAGGGCTGGGGCGCAGCGTGGCTCCCCGGGGGCTTTGCGGGGGCTCTGCTGAGACCCAGAACCAAGCAAGGGCGGTGGGGACCCCCTGTGCCTCAGGGGATGGTGCAGGGCAGGCTGCTGGGGCTGTTTCATAAAGAAGTTGCTTCATGGAAGGAACAGAAAGTGCAGGGGGAAGTGACAGAAAAAGCACCAGACGGAGGGATCTTTGTGTTTTTTCTTTTAACGGCAAATTAACCCCCAGTTTTAATGCTGTCATGCCTTCAGATCGTGAAATGTGGGCAAACGAGGCTTTCTGCTTTCTGTGCATCATTTGACGAAAATCAAACCTAGCAGTACTGAAGGCCCATTTTATTCATCTTCTGAATGAAAGGCTTATTAAAACAGCTCTTTGGCTTGTTCTCCATGCTCTGAACACCTCCATGCGCACATGCCTGCATCGCTCAAGTTGCCCTGGCACCACATTTGACCGCAAAAAAATCTTGCAAGTGCAAAATACTGATGGGCAACGGTGAACACCATGGGTCACTAAAGCACACGACACTTGTGCTACTGATCTACAGGCGAGTTTGGTAGGCAATGGTCTGTAGTGGGTGTATTGAGCACCATGGGAGACACTGGGGATCCTTCAGGGTGCCCAGGCTGGTTCCCGAGTGCTGGCCGGGCTCCTCAGCAATGCAATAAGCTGCTGACT